AACTTGTGAATTGGAAAATAATAGATTTTTCTAAATTTTGAAATTTTTGAGTTAGGAAGTAGTAGGATTTTAATATAGAAGATTTCAATTTTGAGAATTTTTTTAATAGAAAAGTAATAGATTTTAAAATATAAAAATTCCAATTTTGGAATTATGAAATAAAGTTTGAAAAATTTCGGAAAATTTGGAATATTTTAAGCTTATGAAATAAAAATGAATCCTTAATGAAAGATCCTAATTTTCGAATTCCTTTTGAAAAATATTATACCTTTATTCAAAACATCTCTATTTTGAAAATTTAATCCATCAAAATTTCACAATTCCAAAATCACTCAAATCTTAAATATTCTTCAAAGTTATCACTTGAACCAGCCATTTCCATTTTTACCTTCGAAAAGAATTAAAAAAATAAATTCAATCTAAAAAAAATAGAATCCATTATCATTATTTACAAAAAAATTTCACAATTCCAAAATCTCTCAAACCTTAAAATATTCCCTAAATCACTTAAACCAATCCTCACCATTTTCATTCTCGTCTTAAAATAAAACTTTTGTAATTAAAAAAGAAACTTAAAAAGTAAATTCATCCTAAAAAAAAAAAAGAGTAAAAAAAAAAAGCAATTTCGTCAAAAACTAAAACTTATACAACTCTTCGATCTAATCAACATCACGATCGAACCTCAGCTAGTATTTTCCCAACCTTTTGTCCGGTTAACCGAATTGCCCAGGCTTCGAAACCCACCCCTCCTCGTTCTCTTCTCGCCCCGAAATCCTTCCTCTCCTGTGGCCGATCTCCATGGGATGACAGGGAGGAGGAAGGGAGGGAAAGCTCGTTTGGTAAACCGAAATGGAATAATAGAAAGCTCGCAGGAGCGAGAAATGGGGCGAATATAGGGATCACCATTTTCTCACGTTATCAATATCCAGGTTCCAGGCAAACCGATTCGAGTTGGAAATTCAAAGCTTTTGCTATCTAAGGCGAGTAGGTCGTTTGCGTTTGCCATTTGTTTTAATTGTGTCGGGAAATTATGCTTAATTAACTGTTTCCTTGAATTTGCCGTGAAATTGAAACTAATCGAATGAGCATGATCTTCCTCTTTCTTTGATTTGGATAATTTTTTTGAAAATGTTACGTGATTCGTTTTGATTAAAATTTTGGAATTAAATATAATTGGAGACAAGTATAATAGAGTTAGATAGATAGGTTAATGATTATGATTAGAGATCTTTGAAGATTGCAGCGGATTTTTAAAGAAAAATTATTTGAGAAAGAACAGTGAGAATGTTCTTTATAATTTCCTATTTTTCCTTTGCAATTATTCAATATTATAAATTCAGAAGAAATTAATATTAATTTATAAAGAATGATAAAATATAATATTATATATGCAAATATAATAATGGCAAATTCAAATGGAGAAGGAGAAAATGGAAATAAGGAAATAAATAAGAAAAAAGAAAATGTACGTGTAGCTTCAATAATTGAGAATATTAGACCTGAAAAAAAATTAAAAATGAAATCTAATACTTAATTTTTAATTTTCTTTTCATTGCTATTATTTTCTCAATTATGATTATTATTATTTCATTTCAAATTGTTCTTATTAAAAGAAAATCTGATTAGAAATTATATTAATTAATGATGATATAAAATAATAATATTAAATTAAAATAATATAAATTATAAAAATCATGATAAAAAAAATATTAATAATTCTTTATTATATTTAAAAATTCCTTAAAGTATATTTCTTGTCTAGAAACAAAATTATTATCAAGATTTGTTTAAAACACTTAACCTGAAAATAATATATTACAATACATATTAACAATATATATATTAATAAATGTTTTACATTGAACTCCTTTAATTTAAATAATCCAATAATTAATTTTCTTCTAGAATTATTATTGCTTTACTTTTAAAAATCTAATAATCCAAATCTTATTTGTTTTTACAAATGAGCACGAATTACATTAATTAATAAAAGTATTTTAAAAAAGGAAAAAGTAAATCGATGAATGCTTTATATTACACTCAACGGTATAATTTCCCTTCGAGAGTTATAATTTTCTGGTGGAAGAAGAAGGCTGAAATGATCTCCAATATCGCAAAAAAGAGAAAGAAAGTCCCCTGGAACAAAAGTTCTTGCTGCACTTTGCACGAAGTCTCGAGACACTCCATTCCATGGGAAAAACACGAAACAGAACCGCGACTTGGAAACAACGACGATTATCCGCAATTAAACGATCACGATCCGAGACTTTGCACACTGCTCCAGTTTCCGTCAAACAATACTCCCTCCCCTTCCTCAGTTTATTGAAAGTTTCTCGAGCCTTCTTACTTCTATTTCCACCTAGTTTCGATTTCGTGGGCGAAAATAAAATTCTCAAAAAATAATTCTAATCTCGTTCATTAAATATAAACCTTTTTTGGAAAAATATCACATAGTTTCTCGTTTCTCGATCGAGGAATTTGCAAAATAATAAATATATTTCTTTGCATAATATATATTTCTTGCAAAAAAAATATAAATATATTGTATGGAAAATATGATTGAATTACACAATTTTATTCACTCACAACACTCTCAAGCTACAAATTTTAGGCACCACAAAAAAAAAATTTTAACCCCAATCGATCCATCATTCGACTCCATCCTCCCATAAAATGCTCCAAGAAATATCCATCATCGTCTACTATCTTCGAACAACTCAATTTTCAATTTGTCACCTCTTTCTCTCTCTCTCTCTCCCTTCTCTTTATTTCTTTACCTCCTCAAATCCATTCTACGCAACCACTTTATCCGCCATTTTCATTCATCCCTTCAACGAGAGAAGATCTAAGTTTCAAGCATCCCATCCTCGAATCCTCGTTTGATCGAGGGAATCGATTGGATCACACCAGGAAGCACCCTCGGATCCAACATTTTCCATTCGATTTTTCCAATCGAAATCGAATGAGTAAACTGAGAAAGGAAGAAAGGTCGAGGGAAGAAAGATTCGAAGATTGAAATACTTGGATACCGACTTCCCGATTCGATTTACATCTCCGTTCTCCACGTGGAACGCTCAACATCCGGCTAATTGGATGTTGAAGTCGCGAGTTTCAGCGAGATTTTTTTTCACCGAAACGAACGCGAAAAGATGGAGTTTGAAGGGGAACGAGGTTAAGAAAGTTGGAAAGTTTCCTGAAATTTTATAAGGTATTTCCCGATCTTGGTCTTGGTGTATCCTTATATCGTATCTTTTGAAAGTTTGAGAACGTTGCACGAGTTTCTTCGCGATAAATTTCACGATGTTCAATATTTTTGTTACTTAGCTTATGTTTAATTTCGATCTAAATGATTCCTATCCCGTTTGGAATGTAAGAAATTAAAATAAAGTATATATCATAAAATTAAGTAAAGTAGTTTAAATTGTTGTAATATTAATTAGAAGACTTTCTTTAAATAAAGTGAGGAAATTTTGAAAATTGGAAATTATATTATTTCTAATTCACTAGAAGATTCTTAAACATCATTCTTTCCCCTCCTCTTTTTTTTTCATATGTATCCAATTATTCTAATTATTTACAATTATTATTTTTAAGGAAATAGATTAATTACAATTAATAATCGCAAAGGAAAAACTGAAAATTCAAAGGATTAAAGATTCATACGAGATCAATCTCCACTGTAAAACACACAACACGCAAATAGCTATCCAAAAGTTTGGAGGAATCTCTCAAACAATATCTGATACTCGAATACACGCGAGAATATTCCCCTCCACTCGAATGTCGAGCCTGTGGAAACGCGGACAAAATCCTGGAAACGATACTTCACCGCGATAAGAGGGGGGAGAGGAGGAGAAGGGAGAGGCTCATCAAACGTGCTCTCTGGAACAGGAATGGAATAAAGAACAAGTCGCCTTATTCCTTCAAAACCTTTCGATCCTGAAGCTCGTCGAACTGGAAACACTGAATTCCGAGGGAAGAAGTGAAGAAAAAAAAGAGGGGAGGAAAGGGAAAGGAAGAATGGAAAGAGGGGGAGGGGGGTCGAAGTGGCGGCGCCATTGGATCGTTTGACACCCTTCCAAAATCATTATTGCATTATTTGGATTTGGATGTTGGATTTAGCAAGCAGATTGTTCAGCAAGTTAGCCTCGCCAACCGGATGCTTCGATCTGATGCCACTTCCGGTTGCTCGTGGACAATTGATTCAAATGATTTGTGCTTCCCTTTTTTTTTCCTTGGACAGATTGTGCGAAAGGGAGAAACTGAATGAACAGTAATTTTCGTATATTTGAAAACTTTGTAAATATTTTTGAAAAAATACGATTATTTTAATTATTATTCTATTTTTTATTCGTTGAATAAAAATTTTTTTAGATTATATTTGAAGGCCAAATTTCTTCTCTTAAATGGAAATATATTTATTCTTATTTTTGTTTATTTGTATACGAAATACTTTTTAATTTCAAACTTTTTCTTTTGACGATTATTAAATAACGAAGAAAGATTAACATATCAAGTTTATATGTAAATTTTTTTATTATAAAAATAATCGTATTTAATAACATCAAGTTACTTAAAATTGTAATAATGTTAATATATTGTATTAATTAGTAGCTATTAATCCATTATATTATTATAGTTATTATAGTTTATCAAGTAATTTCACTCATGATAATCACTCAAATTTTCCATTACATATTCTCTATTATACTTTATTATATTACTAAATTCATTCTTTTAAGAATTTTATGTTAATCATTAAGCAATTACTTATTAATTTGGATAATTGTAATAATTTGTCAGTGAGGATACAAAAGTAACCTACATATCTTATTTGTAAGAATTAAATTATATCTCAAATATATATAAAAGAAATATATTATTTCCAAGCTACGTAATGCATCAATTTAATTTAACAATTGAATTTTTATATATATAATTTTATGTATTTTATGCATTTTGACATGTGAGACTAAAAGGTAAAACATTTGTTTACTTACGATGCACCATTTGGCCGAGGGTGGACATTCCTTCAGATGCATGTGAGCGGTGTAATTGATGCACGGCGTGATGCTGCCGACTCCCTCGTTGTACTGTCCGCATTTGTAACATCTGATACCGTGTGCCAGTCCTGGAACAGCACGAGATATAGGTCAATATATGATCAAACAAATGGAAATAAAAATTAACGATGCTATAAAATCTCTGATGAAAATTTCAGGAAGAGAATCGGATAACACCCTGCTGGAAAATAAATTATCATTTTTGTTGTTAATGAAAATTATAAATGTATCAACGAATAATTACAATGTAAATTGAAAAATGAAAGAAAGATTTATCGTCAAAAATTTTAATTAGAGAATATAAATTATCTTCGAAATAAAAAGAAATATGTAACGTGATATAAATTTTAAATATTAATTATACCTGTATTTAGTAATAGAATTTAATGAAAGAAAGAATTTGTTAGAAATTATAAATTCAATATGAAATATGAATAATTCGTTAAAAGTGGTAATTTCGATAAAAAAGAAACAGTATATTACTATTAAATATAATATATTTAATTCGAAATATAAATTTATATTTTATAATCTTCTCTCTACATTCAATCGAAAAATTAATCTGAAAAATTCAAAATTATATATCATATATTTTAATAATCGAAATCGAAATTGAAAAGAACAATATCAATTCCAGTAATCATTAAATAGATTCATTAAAAAGTAAAATGCTATATATATATATGTGTGTGTATCAATGAACAATCTTTTAATTATCATAAACGATAAAGAGTCAAAGCAATAAACGAAGCGAAATCTCGATCAGAGATAAATCGAGTGTATCGCACCTTTAAATGGTCAGGTAATTTAGCCCACGGAAAATTGCTTGCCAAAGTAGAAATTACCGACTCGTTTCCGCTTTGAAGTCGAAGGGAGGGAGGACCGCCAACTTTCCAAGATGCCTCGGCTTTGAACTTTGAAACGCCGAGAGGCAGCGACACTTCCAACAGAATTTCAACGCTATGCAAATCGGCAAATTCGAGTAAAAAAAAAAAAAAAAAAAAGGAGGAAGAAAAAAGAAACCTGTGCAAATAACATTGATCCGAAATTTTTGGTTTATCGATCAGAAAAATTTTACTGCGAGTAGAATTGTGGAAAAAAATCTTTGCAGTCGATTCGAAATTTTTCGAAAATTTGTTAAAAAAGAATTGAAATTTTATATCGATTAGAAATTTTTTGTTACGAATTTATTATAAAAATAAAGGATGGAATTTTGGAAAAATCAATGGATTTGAAATTTTGAAATTGAAATTTGAAATAAATGTAAGAAAGGATAGAAAAAAATTAAATTGAAAATTGAGTGAATATTCTATTTGGATCGATAGTATTGAATACTATTTAACATCTTTGAATAATTAAAATACGAAATTTTAAAAAGAAATAATAATAAAAACTTACTCTTGAAAAATCTAAATCAAAGCAAACACAAGATTACGAAAAAAGAAATAAAAGAAATAAATAATGAAAGAGAACATAACCTAAAAAAACACTTTTAAAAATTTAAACAAATAAATGAGAAAATGAGAAAAAACACAATAAATAATAAAAAACAAAAACGAAAAGAGAAGATATATTCTATATTTCCCACTCTCAATACAAGATTAATTTAAAGTTCATTACAAAATTACTCTCTCTATACAAATTTTCGAATAACCTCAACACGCGTTCGACACGGCGGAAATTCCACACCGGAAGAGCGTTCTTATCCTGGCACAAAGGAACACGATACACAACCGTGAAACAATATAAACCGAGGAAGCGGATTTCGAAAGTTTCTATCGTTTCCTTCGACCAAACTTCCGGAAACGTATTCGAGGAGAGTTTCTCTCGATCCTAACCTAAAAGAGGCTATACCGTGTATAATAATGATTACTAAAAGTTTCCGTTCGACGTAATTCTACTTTAATTGAAAATAAATGTGAGATTGAGATAATGTAGCAAATTAAATTAATATTAATTTTTTATTTATATGTTTAATATCAGAAAAAAGTTTCATTAAATTAAATACAGACGCATGACAATTGTTAATTATGATGTTGATATTGGTTTTAATATAATGTAGTTTATAAATTATGCAATTTTTAATGTACATCAAATACATTAAAAAATGTATAAAACATAATTTTAATAATACGTATTGTTTTCATGTTGTATTTTTGGAATTAAATTTTTTAGAATTTTAATTATGAAAGTGATTATTTAAGATATTAAGATTATCGTCTAAGATAAAAGGCATTTATAGAGAGAAACCCGACTTACTGGAGCAGAATCTTTGGTATTCAGAAGAAGATAATGCTTAAAGTTAAATGCACAAACTTAATGTGTTCAAGCGTCGTTCAGGTCCCTAGACGAATAATTTACTAGACTGTGCCGGTTTCGTGGTAATTAGTGTGTTCATTTTCCACAAGGAGCAAGAGTTCGTGACGAAGTCAGAATTAAAATTGTCGAATTGAAGAGAACGTAGGCGGGAATCTTCGGAACTTCCGGTTAAGTTAAACCGGTTGAATTAAACTTGTAACGCAATTTCACTTTGGACAAAGGGAAATACATGATTTTGACATTTATTCAATAAATTCTGGTTGAATGAAAAAAACGAAATAAAAAATATTTAAAAATATATTGAATAGAAAAATTATTTTAAATTAGAGAGATTAATATTGTATATTTTATTATATTAATATAAAAATGTTTCATTGATTAACATTTAAGTTCTTGGTAAATTGAAAATCGATTAAGAATATTCAAGATTTTAAATTAAATAAGAATATTACTCTAAAAATTAAGAGATTAATATTGTATATGTATTAGTATAAAAATTAAAAATATATAATTTCTATAATATTAAATTATAATATTAAAATGGAAGAACAAAGACTTCTTTTTGAATATAGAATTTGTAAAATCATGTAGAGTTAACAAAATGATCATAAAAAATATCTAAAAATTAAAAACTTACAAAGTCAAAATCAATACTTTTTTCACTTCAAATTTCATCATCTCAAAAATTCGATTTAAAAAAATTCAAATTCCAACTAAAATTTCATTACAAATATAAAATATCACTTCTACTATTTATATACGAGAGACTTACTTAAAGAGGGAAATCAGGAACGATTTGTCTTCCGCCATATATCGTTTCAGCCGAATTCCAGTGGAGGAGTAGATGCTTGTGTGTACATCGAATTCCGAATAGCCGGCGATTCGCGGGAAATTGGAAAAGTTGGCTCTTATATAGAAAGCCAAGCAGAAGGATACACCGGTGTGGACGAGGAAAAATATTTTATTGGAAATTGGAAAACATTGCAGACGCGAAAACGGACCAGAGATTCCGATTTCACGGCTCTCTTTTTCTCGTGATTTTTGTATACACAATGTTCCCTGAGAACACTGAAAAAAATCTGTTTTTCTTTTTTTTTTTTTTTTACTATTTCTAGTCATTCCACTTTTATCCTCTGTATTTTTCTTATGTGTTTTATATTTTTTGATTATTCTAGAATATAAATAGATAGAGTTTAAAATGTTAATGATTATTTAAAAAAATGTGTCAATGAATTTAAATGAATTTTAAACTTTTTTTGAAGTAGTTTCTTATAAAAAATAATTCAATGAAATTTTTAAACCAGTTTCAATTTTTCATTATGCGTTTTATTTTATTGCCAAACATTAAATTGTCGTTGTAGAATTAAAATATTTGTATTTATCTATATAAATATCAATGTATTTTTCCATTACTATATTTTATAATCAAATTTAAATGCTTTAAGACAATAATTAAATTATTGATTAATCATACTATATTATATTAATAATTAGATATAGCACTATAGAATTTGAAAGTATGAATCGAAATATCTATTTATTTAAAGATTTTAAAAAGAATCAAGCAAAATTCTTAACAAAATCTGGATTCAAACTTCCATCTTTTATCTTACAGAATAAATAAATAAGAAAAAAATTTCAAATAATTCAATTGTTTTTTATAACTCAGAGAAAAAATATTTTTCAAAATTTTTTCCAAAATCGATGTTATGAACGTTCCATAAACAAAATATAAAGATGAATAATACAAATCGTTTAACAAAAGTTGTACAAGATAAACGATCACATTATCAAACGAGTGAAATCTGCAATTATAATTGCAGGTATGTTTCGAGGAAAGGCCGACTAACTATTGTCTCAAACTACTTGTATGGGAAATGGAACAAAGTACTAATTACCAGACTCTGCAGAATTATGCCACTTGTTACTTGAATCCTTTGATGAAGTTACGATATCGATTAGTAGCTCACTCTAGTATCGATTTCTCGAAACTTACGCCTGACTAGTTATTGACCTGTACTACTTGCACTTGACAAAATAAACTATTTTGATCATAAATTCATTGGTTTCCCCATTATTGTTTCTTGTGGTTTTTTCTACAGATTACGAAAGATGTTTAAACACATAAATAAAATTAATATATAAATAATTAATAATTAAATTAAATATTGAAATCTATCGAAACACATTGTCTATAATCAAATATGTATGTATTTTCTAAATAATTTAATTTAATTTAAATCCATGTATTTCTACTTGTTCGATGATATTGAAGTAATGGAAGTCGCAGTGATATAGATGACATTTACGACGCCCATAAATCGTTTAAACTTAAATCGAACGCGTAAAGCTCGTGCAATAATAGAGAATAATCACTCGCAATCGTTCCCATACGATATATAAAATGCAAAATTTTATGAATAATTAAATTAAATTTGGCCAGCCTCAATTACACGAAAATTATATCAATGATTTTAATCGTTTCGAAATGATCGAACGAGTTTGATAAATTTCTAAAATTTCAAATATCTTGCATCAATAAAATAATTCAAAATTTTTACATATAATTAAGAATGAAAGATAAAATTTGCCACACGATCAACTAAAATTTTATCGTAAAAGATAAGAAATAAGAAAGAATAACAATTAATATTTAACAAAATTATCTTCTTCAAATCAAATTCTATCACGAATCACGAAATTTACAAAAACTCAACTCGTCTCTCCATTATTTATATAAAATATAAAT